CCTTTCGAAGGTAATCCAAAACGCACGTTACACCTACAAGACCGGTTGGAGGCCTAGACTCCTGCTTCGGAGGCCTCCCCGGCTTAGACTAGATTCCAGCTAAATTCGGAAATAGCCTACCCGCTCGCTAACTAGATGCCTAAAGTATCTCTAACCTGGGAAGCTGGGAAGTAGAGCGATCGGCCCGGTCCGCTGGTTGCGCGCATCAGTCGACAACACCATCACCAAGATATCGACATTGGTCGGCGACCATGGTCAGCTCGCGCGCATTGTGGCACTTTGAAGTCCTTGATGTGAACGAGGCCAGAAACGCATCCCTGTGGCCATTACGTCGATCTTGCCGTCCCTGGCGATCGCGGCGCGTGTTCTTCAGCCTAGCGCGCAATGAATGCCGAAGTCCGTGGAGAGACAAGTCCTTCGGCCTGCAGCGGCAAATTGCCATCATCACTCGCCAGCGAATTGTAGCTCCAAGGGCAAGTTTTGATGGCTTGCTTTCGATATACCGAGGTTGTCAAGAATCCACGCGGCATCTTTCTCCCTCGTTGTGGTTTGACGGCGCTTACTGATCCCGCACGTGCTTCTCCAGTTTGAAGAACTCGGCAACCCACCTTCCCAATTCCTCAACAGAGCAGTATTATGGTTGCATCGAAATGGCGCCAGTATTCAGACCTATGGACGGCCTGCAGCCCAGTGGAGGTTGTGGCGTTCTCCCATTCTACACACATTGACCACCTGCACCATGCTTCGCGTATGATAACACAGCCATGAGCTTGGCACCTACAGTCTACGCAGCCAGCAGATTTTATAGAATTAAGCAGCCCAAGCATTGTGTTTTGAAAAATTGCAGGTACGTGACCACATTGCGCAGGCATGCTGCTCTGCGAAAAAGTTATCCTTACTCTTGTGCAGCGCTACATTCTGCATATTTGAGGGGAGACAACCATCCCAATGCGTCTCGTACCGCCCGTCTCAGCTGTAGATGGATAGCCCCATGGCCGACCCATTCAGAGCTGGTCAAATCTCGCCCCAACCACCAGCGGCAAGAGATGTCCACTAGACTCCACCTTCGACGGACAACGCATGTCCGATGGCGCGCATTTCAGCTTCGTTGGTCTGGCGTCAGCTCAAACCTATGGATGTAATTTCCTATGTGTAGATTAGACTTTGAACATTGTTTATGCCGCTGGCGTTCATCATCCGCAGAATACAAATACCCTTCCTTGTCCCAAAGGTTAGAGATGCATCCAGATCTCATTCGATTCATATCCAATTCCGTTTCTCTTCTGTCATAGTTGCAGCCAGCAATCAATCATGAAGGGGACGACACTTCTTCCAATCTTGCTAGTGGTTGGCACACATGCCTGGATGCCAGAAGATCGCGAGCTTCAGTCCTTTAACCAAACCTCCAATTCTTTGCATGAGCGGGCACAGTCCCTGCCTACATGGAAGATTCGTGGAGTCAATCTGGGCGGCTGGCTGGTTTCGGAGCCGTGGATGATGCCAGACGAATGGAACACCATGGGATGTAGCAGCGAACAGTGTTCTGAATTTGACTGCGTCAATAAACTCGGCCAGTCACAAGCAGATTCGGCTTTCAATGCTCATTATGCTCGTTGGATTACTCCTTCCATGGTCCAGGACATGCACAACGCCGGTCTCAACACGATTCGCATTCCCATCGGGTACTGGAGTCTCAGAAGTATTGTGGACAGCAGCGAACACTTTCCAAACATGAACCTACAATATCTGGATGCGGTCATCCAGAAGGCAGCAGACCTTGGCATGTTCGTTGTCATTGATCTACACGGTGCACCTGGTGCTCAGAAAGTAGGCGATGCCTTCACAGGACAGGTTAGCAGGCAAAGCAGACACGTGCATGACCGTACTGACATTGATGCAGTGCCTTACAACGCAATGGCTACCTGGGTTCTACACACAGCGAAACTATGACCGCGCTACCAAGTGGCTCGACTGGATGACGCGGCGCATCCACAACACGCCATCATACAAAGCGGCAGTTGGCATAATCGAAGTTGTCAATGAGCCGCAGACTGACAACGACCCAAACCCCAGAACCCAGCAACAGAAAGACACCTTGACACAGAAGTACTACCCCCAGGCGCTTGCAGCAGTCCGAAATGCCGAGAATGCTCTCAACATACCGACAGACCAGCGGCTGCACGTGCAGTTCATGGACAACTTGTGGGGGGGCGGCGATCCAAAGTCCAATCTACCAAACGACGGGAACGTTATGTTTGATGACCACAACTACGTTGGAGGTGCGGTAGACTTTCGTCATCCCAATGGCGCTGCGAAGCAGGCCGACTACATGTGGTACACGTGCTTTCTGGACAACAGATTGAGCGATGGCAACACCCCGAAGATCGTCCAAGAGTGGAGTCTCACGGTCACATCCAAGTATGAAACAAGCAGCGAATTCGACTGGAAAAACCCATCCAACGTACCTTTCTACAAACAGTGGTTCACTGCACAACAGAGGCTGTACGAGCAGACAAATGGCTGGATCTTCTGGTCATGGAGAACTCAAATCAACAACCCGCGCTGGGACTACAGCTACATGTTGAATCAGAATTGGATTCCGAATTCTGCGGCTAGTCTTGATGCCAACAGAAATGTAGATGTTTGCAAGAACTACTTTGGCACGTCAGATGGGCGATAAATATACTGTATCTGTCATCAAGTCCACCTGCATTCCTAGTAGGAATGCAGAGCTAGGCTAATAAGAAGAGGCCTTAGCAAGGCAGTATATAGTAGGAATGCGTAGTAGAAATAAATGACCTTCTAAAGGAAATAACCTATTTCTAAGACACTATTTTATGCAGTTTTGCGAGGAGAATCTAGCCTCGAGTCTGCCTCTATTCCTATTAGAAATAACAGGATTAGCTAATAAGAAGAGGCCTAGCTAAGAGGACATAATAAGAAGAGCCTAAATTATGCCTAAATAGGCTTAATATTAGAGGTTCTACTTCTTAGCGCTTCTTAGAATAGCAAATCTAACTCTGCTCTTATACTTTAAAATAAGTCTATTATATTACAATGCAGTACTCTTACTATTATATTTATATAGAGTTATCTTTTTATACGCATCTTTTCTATTAATTAGATAAAGAAGAGACTATAAGAAGCAATATCTATTATCTAAGCTCTATCTAATAATAGAGTTTATATAGAATAGCTAAGCGCTTATACTGCAGCAGCAATAGTATAATAAGAGTAGAAGATCTAACTACTACTATAGGCTAGAGAAGCTATTGCTTAAGAATTGCAATAATACTCTATACTTCTTAGAAGAATTTAGAGTACTAGTATGCAAGCAGTATTATATAGCAGTTATTAATCTTAATATATATCTTTAAGAATAGCATATAATGCCTATAAAACTATATAAGCAGATTATTATATACTTT